TTACAAAAATATGTTTAAAAATTTTAAATTACAAATTCAGTTTATTTATATAATCTCTTAAAATGTATTTAAGTATATTTCAATACATGCAATGAAAAAGATAAAATTATACAATTTCGTTAAATAATCAAAATTAATAATTAATAAATTTTATAACAATTTAGAAATTTTGAAAATATATGAATTAAGATTATTTTCTATTATATGAAAAATTATGTTTTTGAAAAATATAAATATTTGAATAATTTTTTATGTCAAATAGAGGTATTTTTGGTAAAACAAAAGTTTAAAAGTTAAATTTAATGGTTAATTAACAATTGACGGGATAAAAATAATGTATAAGATGCATTACAATTTTGAGGGGGTTTTATTTATGTTTTCAAAATAGAAATGATGTTTATCTACGTAATTGAGGTAAAACCAAGGTATTAAAAAGTAGAACGGCCAATAAGTCTGTTTAATCAGTGGTTCGGATTTGGGCTCGGCTAGGATATATAAGTGGTAGGAAAAACCATTTTTTCTGGTCGCCCTTTGCTAAGCTAATGTTAAAGTATAACCCATTGAAGCTCAGACAATTCTCCACTCACTAACCTAACGCTCACAAGGAACAAATCAAACCTGAAACTTAAACACTCCTCATGAAACTTCCGTAATTGGATTAAAATCTACATAAATATCAAGATTTAGTGATAAAAATAATATTTAAATAAAAGATGTAATATGTTTCCAATTGAACTCTATCTAAAAAAAAAAAAATTAATATTAGCAGTAAAATACACATTAAGAATTAAAAGAATAAATAAACAATTATATAGTTGGGAAAATAACAAAAAAACAAGTTAGAAATTGTAGTATTTCAATTTTGGCATCTAAAAGTTTAAAATCTCAAGAAAAAAAATGATGCATGATCTGATATTTTACAAATATAGTAACTGATTAAAATATTCTTGTATCAAATTTTTTACAAAAAAAATCAAATTTGTCGTTGTCAGTATATTTCTTGTTATTGGTTATTCAATATTTATTATTATTAATTTATAACTTATTAATAAATAACTTGTTATTATCAGTATATCTTTTCTCATTTGTTATTTAATACTTGTTATTACTAATTCACAATTTGTTAATAAACATTTTGATATAAGGACATTTTGTCATTTAACTATATCTACACAATATCAAATCAACTATCACTCTTTTGTTTTTGAAATTTTAATCTCCTAAGTACTTGAATCGAAATGTAATAATTTTTGACTTCTTTTTTTTTTGTCTTTTTCTCTATATAATTTGCATAACTTTATATTAGGGGTGAAAAAAAAAATAATCTTCCCTGCTTCTCCACTGGGCGCCAACAGAGTATATTACATAATAATAATATGAGTTTTCAATTTCCACATGACTTGGGACCTGGAAAGCAAAAATGAGTTTATATAGAAAAGGGTGAGAGAAGGATGTGACATATCACTGTTGAATCGACTTCTTTCAATAAAAAGGCAATAAATCGTGACCATCCGTTTGAAATGAAGGGCGGCGATACAAACACTCCTCTTCCTTAGCACAGCCCTTTCAGTTCCAAATTCCAAATTCCAAGTCCCAGCGAAAAGGTGTTTTTGAAAAAAATAGATAAATTTTTTTATATATTTTTATTTTATACATTATAAAAATATTTTTACCCCTAAATCGAAAACCTCGTGCTCTTGCAACCTGGTTTTACGTTTTAGAAAGTCGAAGGAATGTGCGAGGGACTCGGCGTTTACCCAGAAAGAAGAACGGCTCAATAAGATGACGAGGCCAAGGGTCCGAATGGTTTTTTCATCTTTCTTTCATTTCTCCGGTTGGGTTCTTTTTTCCGCCGACGTTTGGGACTAAAACAGAAGGGTGATTAACGTTTTTATCTTTTTATTTAAATCCAAAATATAAATAAGTATCCTTAATTTCATTGTTTGATATTTAACCCCTAAAAATATTTAGTAGATGACATGCAATTTTTACTAATTTATTTAAATTTAAAACTCATAATTACATCAAGAAATATTATGGAATTCTGCCAATAATAACTCTAGTCCCAATCTCACCCAATCGCGTGGTTCTTTTAGCCTACCCTAGCTAGCAAGTCCTCCCATTTTGCAACGTCTTTATTCATCTTTTTGTCATTTTGTATATATATAAAAAATCCATCATTCAAGCTTGCTTGTTAGTCTGTTAATATCAATCTAGATTCTTTAATTTTATATGAGAAATGCATCACCTAATGTCATTGGCTTCCCAGAATGCAAATACTCCATATCCTAGAAGCTGCGTTTTGGCACTTGAGATTAATTTTTAATTAGGGTGTGTTTGGTATGAGAGATTTGGGAGGAAAGGAAGGGAAGGGGAAGGATTTTAATCATTTTTTTTTTTTGTTCAGCAACACACAAATTTTAGGAGGGGAGGGAAAATTTTTAAAAAATTTTCTCTTCTCCCCTTTTCAACCTCTCCTCCAAAATTGGGAGGATTTTAATTTTTAATTTTTACCATGTTGTGACTATTATATCCATATTTTACCATGTTGTAACTATTATGCCCATATCTTAAATGAAATAAGGTCAAAATTGTCCATGTTAAAATATTTTTCCCTCCCCTCCCATCATAAACCAAACAAGGTAATATTAAAACTCCTCCCCTCACCTCTTTTTTTTATAAATCCAAACAAGCTCATATTGAAATCCTTCCACTTTCCTTCCCTCCCCTTCATTCCATTAAAATCCTTCCCTTATCTTCTTTTTATTGAGCCAAATAGACCCTTAGAGTCTTCAAAATCAGTTTGCTCGCTTAGGACCTATTTGGTTTGAGGGGACGGTGGGATAGGGAAAGGGATGGGAGGTTTTATCCTCACCTTGTTTGATTTGATTAAAAAAAAAGAGACGAAAGGATATTTAATTAATCCCTTGTTTGGTTCAAGGAGGGGAGGAGATGGGAGGGATAGTAATAATCAATTTACCATTTTACCCTTACATATTAGTTTATATTTTTTATTGATATATTAATATTATACAAATTAATTTACATTTTACTTTAAATTATATAATTTAATGAAAACTCAGTCTTATCATGTTAATATATGCATTAAAAATTGGTACAGTAATTTTTTATTCTAATTAATATAATAATATATTTGAAATAATCAAATTAACAAATTTTATATGCTCTAAGAAAAATGAAAATTTATTCTCTTTAGGCTATCCTTTTTTTAGTTTAAAAATATATTTAATAAATAATATATTTATAAAAAACAATTAATGTTATAATTTTATAATTTCTTATTTAAATAATTTTTTATTTTTAATTAATTTTTGTAATAATATATTTTTATTTATAATAATTTATATTTTTTATTTTTTACTTAGGATAATATATTTTTTTTGAAATAAATATTATACGAATATATTTTATGAGTAGTAGTGGAATATTAAAAAAACTATAAGGATATAATGACCCAAAAATTTAACTTCCCTCTAAAAACCCCCAATTTGAGGGAGAGCTAAAATGGAAAGGGGGATGAGGGGAGGGGACATTTTGGCTTTCCTCCCCTCCCCTCCAACCAAACAAACCGCGAAGGAGAGCGAATAAGGCGATGTGTAGGATTAATCAATTCTCAATTGAGTTTTTTTTCATGTCCTAGAATTTCAGAACCTTGCTAGCCAGCTAAACCAAGACAAGGTGGGAATGCCAGAAAGAGCAAAATGATTAGGCGAGAGTAGAATTAGGAATAATTATTAGTAGAATTACAAAAATGCTCTTTAGGGTAATTATGAGTTTAAAATTAGGATAAATTAGTAAAATAATAAAATTATATGCACATCTATTCTATGAGATTTAACCGTCTTTTTAATGGTAAAGGGTTAAATGTCAGACAATGAAAGTTGAGGGCGTGATTTTTAAACTTGCAAAGGCAAGAGATATTGTATGTAAGAGAATTAAAATTGGGAGGAGTTATTTATATTTTGGCCTTTATTTAATTGTAGACCTGTGTTTATACTTCTTGGTGAAATAGATTTCTAGTACAACTGTAGTACTTTATTGGTCGTAAATGATTTAGGTTTTGCAATTAAACTCAATTAATGATGGAATTCTGAATGGTCATTTTCTTGAATATATATATATATATATATATATATAAACACATACATAAAATATATAGTAAAATTACAACACAATAATTATTATGTTTTTGACGGTCGAAAACATTATTGGCGTTAAATTTGAACTTTTAATCTGACAATGTGTTCTGTGAAAAGTTGCTTAAATAAAATTAAGGAAAAAAAATACTCAAATATAAATAAAACGGATTACCAGAAAAGAGGAACTCAAACTATGATGTGTTAATTAAATGATTTGAATATCTAGGAGTTATTAATGTGTGGACAAATAAACATAATCGTCTGTGTCTGTAAATACTAGAGGCAATGTACAACTCTTCTATAAATGAAATTATCGCCTGTTCCCAACTAATTTAAACTAAGTTTCATGGTAAACTTAAAACTGCTAAATTTGTGGTCATGTTTTCTTCACATCTCACATTACCTAGTTTTTTTTTTGGGATTGTTTATGCAAAAAAATTTACACTTTATAATTTTATTTTCATATGCAGGTACGAAACAGAATTCATTGAAAGCATTGCTGATGAAATCGGGTCAAAGTTACTTGATAAATCAGCATCTGATCTTGGCAAGTTAATTGGAATTGAACCAAAATTAGATGAACTGAATTCAATCATAGCAAGGGAATCAGAAGAAGTTGGGTTTATAGGAATATGGGGTGCAGGAGGCGTAGGCAAAACAACTCTTGCTAGAGCCTTTTATGAGCGAGAGTGAAAGCGAAAGAGCAAAAACTTTGAGATTCACTGCTTCCTTGATAATATTAGAGAGACATGTGAAAAAGATGGTTTGATTTCGTTACAAAGAAAACTTCTTTTATCTTTGTACAAAAGGAGTATAGAAGTGGCTGATTTTTATGAAGCAATGGAGTTAATAAAAAGGAAGTTAACCGACAGAGAAATTCTACTTGTCCTTGATGATGTGAGTCATGTTAGCCAACTTGAGAAGTTGGCTCCAAGGCAAGGATGGTTCAGCAAAGGGAGCATAATAGTGATAACAACAAGGGATAAGCATTTGCTATCATCATATGGTGTATCTGATAGTGCTATATATCACATTGAATTCTTGAGTGATAGCGAGTCCCATGAACTTCTCATTCAAAATGCCTTTAAAGAAGGGCAACCTAATGAAGATTATTTGAACCTTGCTAGAACCGTCATTGAATATGCTGGAGGCCTTCCTTTAGCACTCGAAGTGTTAGGTTCATTTCTTTGCAAAAGAACGATAGAGGAATGGGAAGATGCACTAGCTAAGTTCGAGAAATGTCTTCCAGAGGACATTTCCAAGATACTTGAAGTGAGTCTTCACGGATTAGAGCTTAATGAGAAGACTATATTCTTGGATATTGCTTGCTTTTTCAATGGGATGGATGAAGATCATATCATACAAATTTTAGAAACATTGGATAAGGATCTTCACCCAAAAATTGGAATAAGGCTTCTTATTGACAAATCACTAGTAATTAATTATGAAGGGCATTTGCGGGTGCATGAAACTCTGCAAAATATGGCTAAACATGTTGTCTATCAAGAATCATCTGGTGATGCCAGCAAGCTTTCTAGGATATTGTCCTTGGATGATGCCAATCATGTATTAGGAGGAAATAAGGTGACGTTCCAAAGTTCTTGTGTTTGTGCACTCTTATAATAATTTATTGCATGGCTTTTATACATTTTTACCTTGACTTGTTGTTTTATAGGGAACAGAAGCAACCCGGGGAATAATGCTAACATTAGAAAAGTCATGTGATGCATTTTGGGATCCTGAAGCCTTCTCAAAACTGAGTAATCTCAAGTTACTTATCATTTCAAGTCACTCATATGTTTCACATTGCCAACTGAATCTTCCGCTTGGACTCAAGTCTCTTTCCAAAGAGTTGAAAATCATAGAATGGGAGGGGTATCCATTATTTTATTTGCCAAGTCAACCTCAACTCAATCAACTTGTTGTGCTAAAAATGCGACATAGCAAGTTAAAAGAACTATGGAGAGGAAAACAGGTAACTACAGTCCTTTTATTTAAATTGTTTATCCACAATTTAGTAAATTATAATTATAATTATAATCAGTATTTGGTTTTTGATCTATTGTCTTTTTCTTTTTTCCCCTGTTGTTAGTCTCTTCGAAGCTTGAAGTCCATTAATCTATCTCATTCAGAATACCTCATCAAAACCCCAAATTTTGATGGAATTCCTCATCTTGAAAAGTTGATTCTTCAAGGGTGTTCTAACTTGGTTGAAATTCACCAGTCTCTTGGGCAACACAAGAAACTTGTCACTGTTGACTTGAAAGATTGCAAAGAAGTTAAAACGCTTCCAGAAAAATTTGAGATGAATAGCTTGGAGACTTTTATTCTATCAGGTTGTTCAAAAGTTAGAAAACTTCCTGAGTTTGGAAAAGATATGGCATGTCTATCGAAGCTTGATTTAGAGAAGACTGCTCTAGCCAAGCTACCTCAATCACTGGGCAATTTGATTGGTCTCGTTGAATTAAATTTGACAAACTGCAAAAAGCTGGTCTGTCTTCCATGTAGTGTTAGTAAGTTGAAAGCTCTCAAAATTATCAAACTTTCTAATGCTCAAAGCTTTCAAGCCTGCCAGAGAATTTGAATGAAAATGAAGCTTTGAAAGAGCTGGATTTGAGTGGAATTGCTATAAAAGAGTTATCATTTAGTGGCTACAATGGTGAAGCACAATCTTCATCATCGTGGAGTTGCTTATCCCTTCTTCAAAGGCCTTCAAGCTCCAAAAAGTTTTTGTTGCCGCTGTCTTTGTCATTCTTGAAAAAATTAAACTTAAATTTTTGCAATCTCCATGATGGATCACTTCCTGATGACATCGGCGTTATCATCATTGGAAATTTTACATCTAAATGGAAACAATTTCATTGACTTACCATCTGGTCTCATTTCCAATCTTTCGAAGCTTAAAGGTATTGCTCTCTGGAGTTGCCCAAGGCTTCGGTCTTTGCCGCAACTTCCGTCAAATCTATCACGTATAGGGGCTGAAGGTTGTTCATCACTAAAACATTACGGATGTGCAGATCAATTATGGGATTTCATTGAATCATTTCAACCTCAGGTTTATTTTATTTGTCTTTAATTGTTCTTTCACCTCTATCATTTTACTTCTTTAACACGCAAAATTGTTTCTTATAGGTTCACAACCATTTAAATATGAAGTCAGCAATTATAAGAGGGGATTCAGAAATTGTGAGTTTTTAGAATCACCTGTTTTTTTCTTAATTTCTTTGACAATAAATATATAGTTTATTTTACTTGTACGTATATATTGTCATTTCTTACGTGTTAATCAACATACTTCTGATACAAACAATCTGTTTTTTTTTTGTCCCAGTTTCTTTCCCTCCGTCCACGTTGTCGCTCATTAAGAATTCTAGGCAGCAGAGTACCATCATGGTTTTATAATCAAAACTACTTTTGCGAGAAAGAATTCTGGAGGTGTCCAAATAATGTGTCGTTCATAATAAATATATCCCCTGATTATTGTGGTTCACGTGAATGGTGGGGCATAGCCATATGCTTAGTCATAGAACGCGATCTCGCATTTGGAAAGGGGAGGGATGGAATTTGTTGGAGTTGCAGATTTCCTAATGATGAATTTCCAAACTCGCATCGTCGGCATATTATTTATCTACCTCCAGCTATGAGTCCTCTGCTTTATATAAAATATATTCCTTATTCCTCTTTGGTTGTCAATGGACTTCAAATGGTATTTTTCTCTCAGAATGCAATGGAAAATAAGTCACCAAGGACGAAAATAAGCAAGTGTGGGTGGCGAGCGGTGTGTAAAGAAGATGTTGAAGCATGGCGAAGAACAGGGGACGAAGGTTGTAGTATCATCAATAACTACGTGAAGATTGATCCAGACATCAACAGTGGAGGTTATAGTTGTAACATCCTAAGTTTAATCGGGTTTTGATAGCCTCTTTTGGGTTGACTTTGAGGATAGATTAGTGATTTAATCTTGATCTTGGTGTTTAGGTTGGATTTGAGGTTGGTTGGAGGAATAGGTGAACGTACCCCTCTCAGGGTATGTTCGAACTTCGCCGCGGCGAACCGGGGGTTTCAGAGGGGAGTGTCTTCTCGGGAAGGTTTGGCCGCGGCGAAGTCTTGGGGACGCCGCGGCGAAGTTGTTCAGGTGAGCGAGGCTTCCCTCTCGGGAAGCTTTCGCCGCGGCGAAGATTGAAGTTCGCCGCGGCGAAGTCGGTTTTTCAGGCGAGTAATCCCTCTCGGGATTAGTTCGCCGCGGCGAAGATGGAGTTCGCCGCGGCGAAAGGTCGCGATTTATATAATCGCTGGAGGGTTCAGATGTGCGAAAATTGGAAAATCTGAAGGAGGAGAGAGAAGCTCTGCTAGGGTTTCGTGGAGGAGGCTTGAGAAAGGCATTTCTAAGGATCCATTACCTCAAGTAAGTGATTTTAACCTCTAATCTTCTTTCTTTCTTAGAATTACTTGGAATTTCTGAGGATTTTTAGTGGAACTCTAGGTTTTTCTAAGTTATGATGGAACTGAGGTTTTTGACCGATTGTTTTGGGTTTAATTGATTGCATTGGGTTAGTTTAAGTTTTTAATCGGTGTAGTTTTCTTGGATTTAAAGAATCTTGAGTTTTGGAGTTAGGGTTTATGGAATTGGATGATTTGGGATTGAGGATGATAATGTAGGATTGAATTTGAGTTTTGTGAATTGGGTTATGTTAAGGAGGGTTAAATTGGATGTTTAATCGGTTTAGATTTGTTGTTGGAACCTTAATTGCTCAAATGAGATGTTGGAGGTTGAATTCCTATAGTGGGTCCTTGAGGTTTGAACTCTAATTGATGCTTGGAAGGAGACTTGATGTTTTAATAGACTTTGAGGACTTTGGAGTGTTGTTTTGATAGTTATACCCTTTGAGTTGGGTAGAGTTTTGATGGGAGATAGGAATTTTGTGTCCCCAAGTGTGTTTTTGGCCACATTATTAGTTTGAAAGCTAATATATGATGGTTGTGTGTTTGTGTGCTTGTGTAGACTGGTTGTGAGTCTTGGTGGTGCACGGGGCCACATCGTTGGTTTGTTATTCCTTGCTCAGGCGAGAGGTAACCACTTTCCAATCCTTAGTACTTGCTTCTGTGGTATTGTGAGTAGATTTATGTTTTGTGCTCCAAATAGAATTGTTCGAACCGTATGTTGTATAAAAAAAAGGAAAACCGTCTTGTGGGGGTTTTGACTAATGATGAATGAATTCTTGAATTGTGAAAGATATGCCACTGAATGAGGTTAATTGTGAAATGATTATTACTCTTTGATTATGATTTGAGCATGATGCATTGATTGGGAATTTGGTGAGAGTTGTCTGTTACTACCACGTGGTAAGGCCTCCATTAATGCATGATGGTTGGCTCTTTACGTCCCCCATAGTGAGGGATAGGCCTTCGGGCTCATTACGTCCCCCAGAGTGAGGGATAGGCCTTTATGGCTCCTTACGTCCCCCATAGTGAGGGATAGGCCGGGTTCGGCTCCTGAAAATCCCCCAAAGTGAGGGATTTGGTTGATGGGATTGCATCATTGCACTTGCATAAATTGTTGTGGCTATCATTATGTATTATTTGTGAACTGCCCCACTTGACACCTCACGAGCACCTATTTAGTAGTACCTAGTATTGGAAAGGTGGTTACTGGGACTTTGTCTCACCCCGTGGTTTACAATGTTTTCAGGTGAAGGTTCTAGGCGTGTGCCTTCGGGAAGAGACGCGAGGCTTGAGCTTGGTTAGCTTTAGGCCTCTAGCTTTATTTATGTATGGATAGTTGTATATTGCCACAGCTAGGGTTTTCTTGAAATATTTGATTCCCGGCCTTATTGTAAATTGGAGAATACATTACCTACTCGTTTTGTTGGCCGGAGGCCATTGCTATGGTTTTATGGAACTTGGTTTTACTTGGTGGAAAACCTATTTGGATGGGCTATTTTGATGTATGTGTTACCCGGGCCGGAGGCTCGGAGGCCCAGTGATTGTGATTGATTGATGATAGTTGCATGCAACTGCATTTGAGGTGGAACCAAGTTTTAAATGTTAATTTTCTAAAATCACGCAATTTCTTTCTACTATGGTAGTTGTTGCACATCTTTCTTTTTTCTACCATAGTAGTGGTCTTATGAAAAGTATTGATGTTTAAGGAAGAGGGTTCTTACAAATTGGTATCAGAGCCGGTTTGTTTCTTTGAAATTGTTTCTTTTCCTAGTGGCAATATACATACTTCATACATACCTTCCCTGTTTGTTTTGTGTTTCCTTTCTTTCTTTACTAATGAGGGTTTCCATCCTTAGTTGGGGAGAGGAAGGATGGTACGGACACGTCAAACAGATCCAACCGGTAATGGACCGCCTCAAGAGAATGAGGCTTTTCTGAGACAAATGAGGGAGATGATGACAGCGGTGGTGGATGAAAGGTTGAGGAAGTTTGAGGAAGACTTCACGAGGAAGCACCAAGAGTCGGTCAATCAAGAGGACCGAGAGAATGAGGTGACTATAGAGGCACGAGGAGTAGGAGAAAGAGGGGTTAGGAGTGGTGATCGAGCTGGAGATTTACCTCAGAGGGAGGAGTATCAAGCTGATAGCCAGGGAGGAGGCACTTCAGAGGGAGTGATTTACCCTCCGCTGCTGAATGATATCACCAAAGTATGGAGGAGGTGCATCGTCATGATCCTCCCCAGTTCAAAGGAAGTTTGGAACCATCAGATGCAGAAAAATGGATTGAGCGGATGGAGACAATCTTTACTGCTGTTCCTTGTCTTTCCCCGCTCAAGGTACAAGTGGCGGTCACCTATCTTGTAGAGCAAGCAAGACATTGGTGGGACAGTGCGAGACCCTCTGATATATCTCAGCTGGACTGGGATACTTTCAAGCGGATGTTTTATGATCACTTCTTTCCAAAGGAGTTGCGAATGGAAAAGCAATTCCTATTCTATTCTCTGAAGCAGGGCGAGATGCATGAGGACCAATTTATCACAAGGTTTATAGATTTGGCAAAGTATGTGCCGAGGCAGACGGAAGATCATTCACTCTGGTTAGCTCAACAATTGATGAACCGTGCAAGGCCGGAGTTGAAACAGCAGTTGGCCTTGTTAGAGGTCAAGACCTTTGAGGAGATGTGTGTGAAGCTGCGGGTTGCGGCTAGAAGGACAAGAGAGGTAGTAGAGGCAAGGAGGGCTGAGAATCAAGCTAGAGCGGCCCGTTATCCTGGTCCTACAGGAGGAGTGGGGAAGAGGAGTCAATACAGCTCTGGGAGCTCGAGTAGCTCAGGGAGAAATAGGAATCAAGGGCAGAATCAGAGGGTGAATGCTCAGAGGGGCTTTATGCAAAGGCGCCAGAATCCAAACAATCAGGCTGGGGGGGACAGGGCTCCCGTCGAGATTCTTCAGTGACCACCCCGAGTGTTACTGGACCGTGCCCCAGATGTGGGGGTAGGCATGCGGGGCAATGCTGGGAGTGCTTTCGATGCCACCGGTGGGGACATATTGCCAGGAACTGTCCAGAGAGTCAGCCGACACCTCCAGCTGGTCGTTCTACCGTTCCAGGACGTGTTTATGCGATGACAAATGAGGAGGCTTCT